AATTTGGCTCTCAAAAGAAATTTCAATCATTGTACTGTTGATATTTGGCTCTGTCGACTAATGAGTTTGCCGACCACTGCTCTAGGTGCATGGGATGATGCTCAACCACTGAGCCACACTGGCCAGGCAGTAAAAAACATATTTTTTTTAAAAAAAAGAAAGAAAAACACTTGAAATGTATAGGCCGATGCTCTATCCACTGAGCCAAACCAGCTAGGGCTGTTGTGGTTTTCTTTATTTTGCTTGAGCACTTGTTTCAGGTCTGCCCCCTCACTAGATTGTAAACGCCGTGAAGTCAGGGAAGGGATTGTCCCATTCCTTCGGTGACGGTGGGCATCCAGTAACAGTGGGCAGGTGTTCCTGACAGGGTTCCTTCCTTCCTCATCCCCATGAACATGGACAGGGTGCCCGGAGCTGCAGCAGTCACCCCACAACCAGGAGGTGCATCCATGAGGGCCAAACCCAGGTTGTGAAGTATGACGGAGAGAGCTGGAAGGAGCCTGTATCTTTGGTGCCTTTGATAAACACTGAGCCCCTGCCAATAAATGTCCCCCTTCCGACTTCTTACTACGGTACATGGAAAAATAACTTTATGTTCATTTAAGCCACTGTTGCTCGCGTTATTTCCGACAATGAAACACATTTCTACGTGATACTGCCAACAAGACTGATGGGATACTCTGGAGAGATTTTGTCCAGTGGAGGAAGATGGGCATGCAAACAAACCACAAACTCGTGGAACTCAAAGATGAGGTAATGGACCCGTGAAGGAGTTCCTAGCTCAGTGGTTGGCAAACTGCGGCTCCCGAGCCACATGCGGCTCTTTGGCCTCTTACACAAAATACCATGTGCGGGCGCGCACGTACAGCGCGATTGAAACTTCGTGGCTCATGCGCAGAAGTCGGTTTTTGGAAAGGAGATAGACGAAACAAGTATACAAGACGAGTGTGGATGGGAGAGTTGGAAGGGGTCGACCTCAGTGAACGTACCTCAATCAGATTGAGGACGCTTTTAGCGAAGGCCAGTTTAGGAGTACCCTAATTAAGTTAATGACAATGTACCTACCTATATAGTTTAAGTTTAAAAAATTTGGCTCTCAAAAGAAATTTCAATCTTTGTACTGTTGATATTTGGCTCTGTTGACTAATGAGTTTGCCGACCACTGTCCTAGCTGTATACTGGTTTCTGGCTTACTAGTAGGTGATTGGGTGGGTGGCTGCCCCACTAGCTGAGACAGGAAACTTAGGTGGTGGAGTTCACTTGTGAGGCAGAGAGTAGTTCTTTATTGGGCAAGTGAGTTTTAGGCATTTGTAGGACACCCAGGGGGAGGAGTCTAAACTTAGGAGGATATATGGATCTGAACTCGGGAGAAGGTTGTGCTGGCGTACAGGATGGGTGTCATCAGCGGGCATATGAGTGAAGCAGAGTGAACGTGTATTGAGCTCTTGCTTCAAACTTTATGCTGAGGGCTTTGTATCATCACCATCATCACCACCATCATCACCATCGTCATCATCATCATCATCCATCATCCAGCAGGGCAACTAACATTTACTAAGCACTTACTACATGCCAGTTCAGCGTCAAAGTGCTTTGCCTGCCTTATCCCATTTAATTCCCACAACCAAGAAAGGGAAGTACGGTTCAGTTTTAGTTATTAGATGACCTTGGGTCATACTGCAGTGAGTTGTGAAACTAGAAGCACCTAAGACTTTGTAGCGTGAGAGAAGAGGACAAAGGACACAGAGAACATCAACGCGATTTTCTTTCTTTTTAAAAGAATTTAAAATAAAAATTATTAATTTTGTAATTAATTTAGAAATTAAGGTATCATGTTATGTACAACTTACATATTCAAAGAATATTTATTTTTAATTTTTAAATATATGTATATATTTTATTGATTTCAGAGAGGAAGGGAGAGGGAGAGAGAGAGATAGAAACATCAATGATGAGATAGAAGCATTGATTGGCTGCTTCCTGCATGCCCCTCAACCTGGGCATGTGCCCCGACCAGGAATCCAACCATGACCTACTGGTTCATAGGTCGACACTCAACCACTGAACCATGCCAGCTGGGCTCAAATAATTTTTATAATGTGAACACACCAGTGTAATAACCAACATCCAGATTAAGAAATAGTACATTACCAACACCCCCAGAAGCACTATTTATGCTATCCAGGCTTCCCTTCTCTTTGTCACCTACCCAAAGGTAACCACAACTTTGACTTTTTGCTTTGAATATCAACATTTAAGGAGTGGAAAAGGAAAGCTGAGCATAAAAAGGTAACTGAGAGCCCAGCCGGCATGGCTCAGTGGTTGAGCGTCAACCTGTGAACAGGAGGTCAAGGTTAAATTCCCAGTTGGGGCACATGCCTGGGTTGCAGTGTGGGGTGTACAGGAGGCAGCCAATGAATGGTTCTCTCTCATCATTGATGTTTCTACCTCTCCCTTCCTCTCTGAAATCAATAAAAATAAATATTTTTTAAAAAGGTAACAGATAAACTGGTCAGAAATGGGAGGATGTCAAGAGAACTTAATCTAAGCTCCACTTATCACACACACACACTCTCAAGCACACTCCAGTTGAAGGCTGGTGATACAAAGTAGCACTGATTTTAGAAAATCCTCTTTGGCAGCAGCAGGAAATGTAAGGAGATTATCATGAAGTAGATGGTAGTGGCAGCAGTGCTAGTAACTATATCCATGTGCAGGGCAGTGGAGTCTGTGAAGCGAGATGAATCTTGTGCTTGGTGGCAGCAGCAAGGACAGTGGTGGGTGATGATTTCGTGCTATTCTCCTCATGCTATATGCCCCAAGTTGGGTTCTTCAGACTTAGCAATTTTGTGAGCTATAATTTTTTTTTTTTTAAATCCTCACCAAGGATATTTTTCTCCATTGATTTTTTTAGAGACAGTGGAAGAGAGGGGAGATAGAGAAACACTGGTGTGAGAGAGACAACGATTCTTTGCCTCCCGCAAGCGACCAGGCTGGGAAACCTGCAACCCAGGTACGTACCCTTGACCAGGAATCGAACCCACGACGCTTCAGTCTGTGGGATGATGCTCTAACCACTGAGCAACCAGCTAGAGCCCCAACATAATCTATAATAATAAAAGCGTAATATGCTAAATAGACCGAACAGCCGAACCACCTTCTGGACGAAGCCGGCGCTGTGAGGGCCGAAGCAAGCCGCCGAGGCTGTGGGGGCTGAGCCCCTTGCAAGAATTTCATGCAACTAGGTCAAGAGAGAAAAACCTTATAATTGTGAAAAACGATTGGTTGACTACTTAACAGTCATTCCCTTGTCTTTCTGGAAACAGAACTCTGCTTTTTGGGAGTAGGAGGAGGGAAGCATGGGATATATTATGTATGATTGGTCCAAGTCCATACCATTGTATGTAATACCATCCTTTTTAAAAAAATATATATTTTATTGATTTTTTACAGAGAGGAAGGGAGAGGGATAGAGAGTTAGAAACTTCGATGAGAGAGAAACATCGATCAGCTGCCTCCTGCACACTCCCCACTGGGGATGTGCCCGCAACCAAGGCACATGCCCCTGACCGGAATTGAACCTGGGACCCTTGAGTCCGCAGGCTGACACTCTATCCACTGAGCCAAACCGGTTAGGGCAATACCATCCTTTTTTGCCAGCATATATGAGCTCTCATCTACATAACAATCTTGCAAGGGTAGTATTATCTTTTCCATTTTACTGATAGGAAATTCCAGACTCAGAGGATCACTGCTTTGGAACACAAATCTGACTCCATAGCCCTTTCCAGTGCACTGCAGCATTACTCATCCATGGATAATTTTGTGCATTTTTTATGACTGGTTGTGGGTATTCTACTTTTCTCTTTGACCCATCAAAGCGTCATGTACGCCTCCTTCCCCATCAATCTGGGAGCTCCTCGATTAAGGTGACTCACTACCCCTCCGGAACTGCTCCTAAACTTCTAGGAATCTCCTCTCCTCCCCCGCCCCCCGCGTGCGTGTCTAAAGACTCCCAGGACCTCCTCCCCAAGAGCTGCTCCTAATGACCCCCAAATCCTCGCTCACTGGGGAACTGCTTTTTAATGACTCTTAAGGACATCGCCCTTAGGGCTGTCCTAATGACCCGCAGAGCTTCTTCCCATTCAGGAGCTGCTCTCTTCAAGAAATGCCTGGGTGTGCCAGCGAATGAGGGGGTTCCCAGAGCACGGGACTTTCGGTTTTAAAACCGAGCCAGTCCGGGGCAAATCAGGACAAGTTGGTCACCTTACCAGGAGCTCCTTGACCTCGGAAGCTGCCCCTTCAGGGCTCCCAGCAAGCACACTTCTGCCTTAGGCAAGGGCCTTACAAAAGCCTCTGCCCACCCCTGCATAGAAGCATCCTGCAGGAAGCCCCTCGCCCTCACCCCTCCCCACTACCCATGGCTAGGCACTCGCCTCTTTCTGTCCTCATTAGCTGGGGGCGGCCAGGCGCCCGCCTCCGATAGGCCAGCTCCGCATTCGGCGGAGATGCTCAGTGGCCGCGGTCCCGAGGCCCCGCGTTTCCTCCTGGCAACAGCCCGAGCCGGTGCTCATAGGCAGAGCCGACTGATACGCCCCGACTTTGGGGCGCTTGCAGCGCGTGCTCATTGGTTGCTTGAAGGCTTATAGTGGCCCTCGGATTGGCTCACTTTGTGGGGCGCTGTGCGGCTGCGCCGAGGCCGACTTTAGGGGGGGCGGGGCTTCGTCCTTCGTTGGCAGGAAAAGCGGCGAGATCGGCTGGTGCGGCAGCAGAAGCTGGGTCTTAGCCCTGCCGGGCCGGTGGGCTTTCGGTGAGAACCGTAAGGTTCCGGAATCTTTTTCGAGTTGTTGCTGCTGTGGCCTTGACCGTGAGATCCGGTGGGGGAGGGGGGGAGTGAGTGATGGGCACGGTTCTCACCCAATGGAAGCAGGAGCTTCTAAAATGCATCCTGGGATTGGTCCTTTCCAATTTCTTATGGCCAATGGTCGTCGGGAAGGGGGGCGGGTGTACTGGGCAGTATTTTCTTCCTGCGGCCGGGCCCCCTTCGCCTGGGCGGCGGGGCCAGGAGGGGCTGGGCCTCTATACGGTGAGGTTTGGGGATCTTGGGAGCGATACCCGCGGGAGCTGCCGAGTGGGGAGGGGGCGGGAGTTTGAAGTGGTTCTTAGCAACAGCTGCCTTTACAGAGCGGTTAAGTACCGGGCCTAGTGCTTAGCATTTTGCTTGCATCATCTGAGTTAATCACAGCGACCCTGCCAGCAAGGAGGTTGGGATCCCCGTCTTACGGTGGGGAAACTGAGGCCCTGGCAGCCCACACAGCCCAGGGCACACAGCTGGTAAATGGCAGAGACCGGATCTGTAGTCACAGTTGCTTGGACTCCGGAGCGGTGCTCTTGAACCACCAGGCTTTGTTGCTGGATGGGAGCAGGAAGGTGTTGGGGGAACAGGAGCTTTCCCCAGGGGATAGGTTGGGGGAAGGGAATCCGAGGGTTGAAGAAAGGAAATGAGCAACAGAGGCGAGGGCAGGGGAATCAGTTATTCGAGTTTCTGAGTGCCTACTCTGGGCCGTGCATTGTTCTAGGTTCCAGGCACACAGAAATGAGTAAGTCCAGAGGCGGTGGGCCACACTGGGGATGGGCCTTAACACTGTTTTCACGTGATTGTATGTTTTGTTAAAATTTGCAAAAGTAAGGTGTTTTGTATTCTTTTTAAAAGAGAGGGTCTTCAAAATTGAATAAACTTCAGGTTCCTCTCCCATTGGATCTGCCCTTCTAATGGGTTTAGTCTAGCTGGAGATTATTATTATGTAGGCAGCATAGAGCAATGGAAGGAGCGCCAGGAGTTCATTACAGGACTGGGGGCAAATTTCCTGGTATGTAAATCAGGGATAATAGTATACTGCCATGCAAAGGTTTGGCAAGGTACATGAAGAGCACCTGGCGGGGGCGCAAATGGAAGCCTGAGAGATAGGAGATAGGTGTGTGTTTGTTTGTGGGGGGGGGGTTGAGTTGTCTTCTCTCTTACCTTAGACAGTTCTCTTCCATGCTGTCTTCCCATGGAAACTTGGAGGCAGTTTCCTCACTTCTGAGCTCTCTAGCTCCCAAAGGCACTCTTGGAGCTGAACTGCCATGGCTTTGGGGCCCAGATTGGGGGAGTTCTAGAATTTCCTTTTGCTTCTTAACTGGCTCCTTTGAGCCGATATGCTTGGTTCTTATTCAGTTGTAATAGTCTTTTGTAGCGCCTGGTAATGGGGATGTATCCACTCAGCTGGAGGCCTCATCTAAAAACAAAGTATTTCCCCTTTTCTAGTCAGTTATGAAGTTTGCCCTGTGTTGCCAGTTTATTGCCTGTTTAAATTTTGTCCTTTGAGTTCTGGGTACAGTGCAATTACACCAGTCTCTACTTGACTTCATTAAGTACTGCTGAAACTGCATTTTGGTTTAGATATAGTTTTAAAAATCATAGCTTATGCTACTAATATCAAAGTACTTTTTTAAAAAAAGTTTATCTTTTCTTTCTTTTTAAAATTTTATTTATTGATTTGAGTGAGAGAGAAACATCGATTTGCTGTTCCACTTATTTATATATTCATTGGTTGCTTCTTATATGTGCCCTGACTGAAAATGTATCAGGATGATACTCTAACCAACTGAGCTACCCAGCCAGGGCTCAAAGTACTTTAATTACATTAAACTTTATTTTGTAATCTTGTAACTAAGTAACTTTTCTTAGGAATCTATAATCCTATTTTAAAGCTGTTCCTGAGAAGGGAGCCCGTAGGTTGCTTTTTAAATCTGGTTATAGTAGATTATGTTTAATACTCTGAAAAGCAATTAGCAAGGTGAGAATAAGGGAGCGGGAGCGACTTGAAAAGATAAAAGGGTAAAATATGGGCAGGGTGGCTGTATTGTTAGATAGAACCAACAATCAAATAGTTACCACTTCCCTTTATTAGTTTAAACAATGTCTCCATTTAAATAAGATTTGAGTACATGCAACGTTGTTGCATCAGGTTCTTTTAAGCAGAGCCTTTTCTGTCTATTTCTGGTTCGTTTAAATAACTTATCTAGAGGCAGATTCCAGGTGTGAAGTCTTTTTTTTTTAATCTTCACCCTAGGATATGTGTTGTTGTTCTTCATTGATTCTGGAGAGGGAGGGAAGGAGAGGAGGAACCTTGATGTGAGAGAGAAACATCAATAGGTTGCCTCCCTTTTGCACCCTGATGGGTAATTGAACCCAAGACTCTTTGGTGCACAGGAACATGCTCTAACCACTGAGCACACGTGCCAGGGCCAGGTGTGAGGTCTTAATACTTCTTCAGAATTTCTAAGTTATCGTTTACTGTTTTCAGCACTGACATTCCCAGCATTTAATTTTAATTACAACTTTGTGCTCTTATGAATTTCTTCAGATTCCTGCCTGACCAGAGTGACCTCAGAAAGGAGGGAAAATGGCTTCTGAATCTGAAACCCTGAATCCCAGCGCTCGGATAATGACCTTTTACCCGACTATGGAGGAGTTCCGGAACTTCAGTCGATACATTGCCTACATTGAATCCCAAGGAGCTCATCGGGCTGGGCTGGCCAAGGTGAGGGGTGGGCTTGTTCAGCAATGGCTTCTGTGCCAGGGCAGCAGGAAGGCTTCCTAAATGAAGGTTGGGAGAACTGAGTTTTGCTGAAAGGCTGGCAGGGTGATGAGCTGCATGTGCTGTCCTATTTGCAAGTTAATTCCTTTCGTTAGCATCTGAAGCATTTCTTTTCTGTTGGGGGAGAGCTGCTTGGAATCTGTAAAAGGGCTATTAAGAGCCAGTGTGTCAGGGCCACTGCTGGGGTGCCTCCTCCTCTGGTGGAGATGGTGCTTGAGTGTTTTTATCTGTCATTGCGTGCTTATGCCATTAAACTTGCCTTGTTCTCATTTCACGCTCAGCCAGCACTCTCATAGTAATTTGGCTTCCCGTGTGGACTCTGTTCAGTGAGTGAGAATCAGCTCTTCATCCTCCTCTCTTGGTGCCCAGAGGAGACACTGAGGCTGAGAAACAATATTACTTACCTTAGTGCCGTGGTCGGCAAACTGCGGCTCACGAGCCACATGCGGCTCTTTGGCCTTTTGAGTGTGGCTCTTCCACAAAATACCACGTGTGGGCGTGCACGTACGAAGTTTCAATCGCACTGTACGTGCACGCCCAGGGTTAGCATGACAGTGTGACTGGCTGCATTTGGATGGGCCTGGTTAAATCAAAGTAACTTTCTAGTAAGATCGACTGTTACCGTTGGGTAGCAGCCTACACACTTCCGGGACGCCGACCAGCTCGCCAGGTTTCTGACCCGTCTCTGTTTCTTGTGTTCCCTACAGGTTGTTCCTCCTAAGGAGTGGAAGCCTCGAGCGTCCTATGATGACATTGATGATCTGGTCATTCCTGCTCCCATCCAGCAGCTGGTGACCGGGCAGTCTGGGCTCTTCACTCAGTACAACATACAGAAGAAAGCCATGACTGTTCGAGAGTTCCGCAAGATAGCCAATAGTGATAAGTGAGTGGAAACACGTTTCTTCCTTTATCTGTCCTAGTGTCTAGTACTGAACTTCTCCTCCTAGCTGTCTTCAAGACGGCTGCTGTCTGGCTGAAGACCAGTGTCCCAGCTCTAGCTTCTGTCTCCCTTTCTGACCTTTTAATGGAAGCATTCCCTCCTCTCAGTACTGTGTCACAGTCTCAACTTGTCCATATTCTCACGTAAAGTAGTCCCATTGTTTTTCCATCAAAAGGAGAACCATTTTCTGACTCCGGTAAGTTGCAGATTTCCGAAGGAAAACGCTGGAGTTGGTTCAAAAGGAGCTTTTGCCAGATGTATTGATATCACTTGCTTATCTGAAAGTGGCCTCAGTAGTTTAATCTCTTCCTTCTGGGTCCTTCTGTCTTTAATCATGCTCAGAATCCTCACTACCCACAAAACTGCTGTCTCCTTTCCACTTTTTGTTTGTTTGTTTGTTTGTTTGTTTGTTGTCGTTGTTAATCCTCACCCAACGACATTTTCCCATTGATTTTTAGAGAGAATGGAAGGGAGGGGGAGAGGCAGAGAGAGAAATATTGAGGTGAGAGAGACACATCTATTGGTTGCCTCCTATGCCCTGACCAAGACACGGGTTTGAGCCTGCAACCAAGGTACATGCCCTTGACTGAAATCGAAGCCGGAACCCTTCAGTTGGCGCTCTATCCACTGAGCCAAACCGGCCACGGCTTCTTTCCACTTTGACATTAACAGGATGTGAATGAACTGCCAAGCTGGTTGCTATTTTCTGATTCCGTTCTTCCTCATGTGTACATTCTTGTCTGTGTTAGAAACGTCTTTCTTTGTTGAGGCCTGCTGTTTTCAGTTGATTTTCTCTGCCGTTTGTAACATTTAGCTCTCATTTGATCTCAGCGAATGAATTTTGTCTTCCCCTCATCAGCTCTCACTGCTCTTTCTTAATCCTTTTCCTTGGATCTTCTCCCTTCCCGTGCCACTCCATAATTTTGAGTTTCCACAAGGGATTCCTTCCTTTCCCCTTGCTTTTCCTCCTGAGCCTTATGGATCTACGCATGTCTGATTTCAGCCAGTCAGTCATGTTGTGCCTTCGCTGTGAACGAGCCCAGAGCTGGATCTGAAGCTTGCCAGCCTTCACACTTTGGGGGCGTGACTTCATGCGCTTTATCATCTCTCTCTCTCTCTCTCACATCAGATCTCACTCTTTCTATTTCTGCGCTTTGCCTTCTTTTCCGTTGGCTTATCATGATTCTAAATATGGTCTTCCAGTTTTATTGACAGCTCAACGCTTAAACATCTACTAGTATAGTGCTGGCCAACTGCTGTCTACTGAGATAATTTATGTGCAAGCATGTTGAAGAAGTGTGACATGCTCTGTGGACGAAAGGCTGTGTCACCCTGTGTCTGATTTCTATCTGTGCAGTGTGTCTGTGGGGTGGCGGCACCAAGCACACCTGCTTTCTGTTTCACATGGGCTTCAGCCTCCTGTGCCTGCCTTCTCTTCTTGTCAACATATGGTAGGCCTTTTCTCCTTTCACAATACCGCCTTTCTTTTTAAGTTCACCAGCCCGTGTCTTTTCTTTTCATCTGACATACAACAAAGTCTTACCCTTGGTTTCTATCTGCATGGTCAGCAAAACCCAGTGGGTAAAAAAATCTAAATTTATAAAGCAGATCAGTTGGAGGTGGAAAAGTTATTTATGTTTAAAAGGGAACTTCAGAGTTCTAAACATTATTATTCACTAGGCTGACATTAACATGTAAGCCAGTATTTAAAGTAAGATTTGTTTTTCCTCACGCATCCCATTATCTCCACACAGTTTCATTTTGGTCTTTGCTTCCACTCTTTATCCGCTCATGATATTTTTTGCCATTCGAGTTATAATGTGCGTTTTCAAATACCTTGTAGGTTTATATATTATTCTTTTTAAAATTGCTGTGTAATCATTTTTAAGGGGTTTTGAACTGTTTTGTTTGTAAGCACGATTATTTGTTGAATGTCAGCCGCTGCATCGGGTGCGGGAAGTGTGGCAGTAATGGTACACATGAGCCTCTGGGAGCCGCTTCCTTCACCCGCCAGGGAAGCGAGCCGTGGAAGGCCTCCGCTCTTCCCAGTCTGTTGGGTTTCGGTTGTCTGTTGATATGCAGTTGACCTTGATCAATGTTGGAGTGGGCGTCAACTCCCCATTCCCACCCCCACCCTGTGAAGTCAAATTTGCCCATAACTTTTGACTCACCCAAATCTTAACTACTAATAAATGGCCTACTGTTGACCAGAAATCTTACTGGTAACATAAGTAGTCTATTAACACATTTTGTGTATCTATTGTATACTGTATTCTTTTTTTTTAAAATATATTTTATTGATTTTTTACAGAAAGGAAGGTAGAGGGATAGAGAGTTAGAAACATCGATGAGAGAGAAACATCGATCAGCTGCCTCCTGCACACCTCCTACTGGGGATGTGCCCGCAACCAAGGTACATGCCCTTGACCGGAATCGAACCTGGGACCTTTCGGTCCGCAGGCTGATGCTCTATCCACTGAGCCAAACCAGTCAGGGCTGTATACTGTATTCTTATAATAATAAGTAAGCTAGAGAAAATAAAATGTTAACAAAATCATAAGGAAGAGAAAATATATTTACAGAAAAATAACCCGCATGTAAGTGGACCTGCACAGGTCTAACCCGTGTTGTTCACAGGTCAGCTGTATAGGGATTTGCAGTTTTGGGATCTCACAAATTTGTAAGCTATTTTCTCCTTGGGTGGCCAGGCCTCTTCTGATTCTAGCGGGGTGTATAACTTTAGTAGATTCTCTTCAAAGACTTGAAGATACCATGCTTCTTAAGGAAGATGTGCTTATATCTTCATGTACATCACCTTCCTTGGGCCCAGAGCTCATGGAAGGGATGTTGAGGGAGTTACTATCTTAGAGCCTTGAAGGCTGAGGTTATGTCATATTCGTTTGAAATATCTTGCTGTTTCTGGAATAGGAGATTGTGTCTTGTGCTGTTCAAGAATTTAGTCCCTTACAAGTGGTTAACACTTCTTTTATATTTGAAAGGTACTGTACCCCACGCTATAGTGAGTTTGAAGAGCTTGAACGGAAATACTGGAAAAATCTTACTTTCAATCCGCCAATCTATGGCGCAGACGTGAATGGCACTCTCTATGAGAAGGTGAGGCTCTCTGGCAACTCTCTGCGCAGCATTTTTGTAATTTTGTAGTGGAATGACATTTTATCTGCCCAGTGCTCAGTAGGCCCCTGGAAGCTGCTTGCTGAATGGGGGAATAATCCACCACCAGCTGATGTGCTGTGCTCGCTTAATTGGGGGTAGTTTTGCATGTGACTGAATGTTACTTCTCCCACTCTACATGTGAATCGGGTGATGTGGTGTTCTTTGCCAGGGCTGTTAGAATAGTCTGTGGGTGGTAGCTGATGAGTTCTTGAAAGGGTGGGATCACAGTAGATGAATTGTTGGGGGAGAGGCAGTGTGGTTTCTGCAGAAAAAAAGATCACTGACTATAATAAAAGTAATATATATTTAAGAAGTGAAACTTATTTAGATTTTTAGAACCAGCAAACAAGATTCTGTAGCAAAAGCTGTTTTAACCAGTTGCACTGGCTTGGAATGTAAAAGGAAGGAATGTTTGGAAGGTTTTTTTGGATGATTAAAAAATTTCTAGCACATTTCAAGGATTATCACTCAGATTAATTCCAATGTTTTTGTAAATTATTGGAAGGAAGGAGTTGAAAAAGTGGATTCCAAGTTTGTTGATGAGTTTTTTTGGATGGTGGGGAAGTGAAGCAGGGACATTAATGGTGGGAAGATGCTGTAAGGACCTGGGATGGGGAGACACAAACAGGGAATAATAATCCATAACATGCCGTGGGCGGTGGGCGCCTTGCTGACCGTTACAACTCAGAAAAGGACTAGGTAAAACTTTTTACCGAGAACACTGCTCAGTGGAAAGTGGGGCTAGAAAAGTCACAGATTGATCTAGTTCATGCTCATGTTTTGTATTTTTTATGGTTTAGGAGTTTTTTTTTTCCTATTTTGTCATAAGTTTCTTTAGCTTCAGTTCAAAACTCTTTATTCTGGGGTTTAGAACAGGTGGGTGTCACCGCTTTATTCATCTTTCATATACGAGTGCTCACCAAGTGATATTTGTCCTTCAGAGGTTATAATGGCATCGTTTCCAGTGGTGGCGTGAAAAGTGGGTGAGGGGTGCTGTGGTCTTCATGCCCATGCTGCTTTGACATTATTCCACATCTCCGTTAGAGGTGACAGCTCACCTGGGACGTACTCCATGGTTTGTAGGTTCGGAGCCTCGGTTTGTAATCTTGATAACTTGCCCTGGACGGTCATTTCCTTTGCAGCATGTTGATGAGTGGAATATTGGCCGGCTGAAGACAGTCCTGGACTTGGTGGAGAAGGAGAGTGGGATCACCATCGAGGGTGTGAACACCCCGTACCTGTACTTCGGCATGTGGAAGACATCCTTTGCCTGGCACACTGAAGACATGGACCTATACAGCATCAATTACCTGCACTTCGGAGAACCCAAGTCCTGGTACAGTCAGCCTGCAGTTGGCACTGGAGCTCTCGGGAGGGAGGGGGCTCCTCAGCTCTCTGTGCCCAGAAAACGCCTCCAGAGCTTGTTAAAATGCAGGCTCGGGTTCAGTAGGCTTGGGGTGGGAGTGGCATTTTACATTTTAAACAGACTTCCAAGTGCTGAGATGCTGTTGGAGCTCTGGTGCTCAGACTGCCTTTGGAGTAGCAGGCTTTACCGTAGAGGGCAGGGCACTTTGTTCCACTGCGTGCAAGCGAGAGTTGGCTGAGTGACTGAGAGCCACAGAGGCTATTCCCACCTCTCCCACCGCTTTCTGCTTTCTTTTTCTGAGCAGGCCTGAGGCATTTCTTAGAGGCAGACTTCCAAGGCTAGAGTCCCGCCTTCAGATGATAGAAAGCTTCCTTTCCCTCGTGGAAAAAAATATTTGGTGAGCAGCAGTGTGTGCTTAACACAAGAGGGGATGCAAGGCTATTCAGCATATGCTTCCTGCTCTCCAGGATGTCCTTAGTCTAGTGGGGGAGACAAAGATGTGTTCTCTCTTCTCTCCCTCTGCTGGTCCATCACTTACTGGCTCAGCAGTTAGTGAAGGTGCTGCATTCAACGGCAGTGAATAAGACAGGTGAGGTAGCTACCCTCACAGACAGGAGATGCAAAGTGTGAGGAAAGCTCTCATGGGAGACGGTGGATGCTGTAGGTCCATGTGGAGAGGGCACATGAGGGGTGGTGATCAGAGAGGGTGTCCCTGAAGGAGGTGACAATGAAGCTGAGACCTAGCAAATGAGAAAGACGTAGCTGAGTAGCTGGGTGGGACGATGGTAGGTTCAGGAGAAGGGAGGCTGAGGGAAGTGTGTCTAAGTGGTTGGAAAACCCGGGCAAAGATCCTGAGTTGAGAGACAGCAGGATGTCTTTAGTGAACTAGGGGAAGATCATAGTGGTTTGGGTGCCAGGTGCTATGATTGAAGTGAGGGAGGAAGCCAGAGGAACAGCATGGGCCAGGCCATGAGGAGTCATGGGCACTGGATCCATCTTCCTGCCCTTTTCCAGCATCTAAAGCCGCATCCCTTCCCAGGGGTTTTCCTTTCTTCTTTCAAATACTTTTGAGTTTCTCATCTTGGGGCAAAATTTTTTGACCTACTGTCCCATGACCTTCCTTAGTTGGCTAGACTTGGAGACTCTGTCAGTGTAGCTTTTGTTTCTTCACCATGTTTACGCCAAAGTTCCCTGAGAATGGATTTCTGTTCTCGTGTCGAGAACAGGTTTTCTGGTTATTACATGCACTCTTCAGGCCATCAAGTGGGACCTCCAGAGGTGGGCGTGCAAGGTTGCCCACAGTGCTTTCAGTGACAAACATCCTCATCTGTTTCGTTTCATAATGAAGCTTTTGGGATGGGAAGTGTTTGTTGTGTGTTGGGGTCCAACCCCAGCAGGTCCAGGGGTCCCCAAAGGTGTGGACTGAATCGGTGAAGAAGGAATGACACGGAGACAGCGTTCAGTTGATCAGCAGCCTAGCCAGGATCTCTAGCCAGGAACTTCAGCCAAGTTCTGTGTTTTATTGTCTTATTACATCTGTATTTATACCAGTTGATTTTAATCCTGTCAATTTATATTCCAAAGTTTAGGGGGATTCTTATCTCCATTCCTGGGAGTAAAGATTATGTAGCTTAAGGGTGATTGTTCGTAGTTAAAGTGATTAACTACCTGCCTGGCATTTAGTTAAGGGGTTTTATTCCCTCCCTAACTTCAGGGAAAAATCCCTACCTGGGGAAACAACCTTTCTCGGAGAAGTGACCTTGGTTAAAACACATAGCGCCAAGAAGGGGAGCAAACATATTAAGAACAGTATGCCATATACGCCAGGTCCCTTGAAACATATGCTGTGCAGATGTTTCTTCCCTGCAGCGACTGTGTCAAGCAGCAAGGATGGACCGGCTTCCGGCAGTTGTGGAATAATCTTTAGACTTGATTATAAAGGTTAGAATAGACTTACTGTGCTTTTCAGACTGTAAAGTTTAGCAGTTTAGCAAAAGTTTTGAATAGTCTTACATGGTTTTTTGGTCCTTTTTTTTTTATGAAGAGCAGTTTCTATGGTGTCTGGGTGGAGGAGTAACTACTGGGTGATCAGTATAACTGGAGACAAGGGGAGATGGGTTCAACAGCAGATATGGGGCCAGGTCTAATCCATTTTTGCCTTGTTTTTTATTCTTTATCATGTCACTGTTAGGCCATCAGGTCTGCCAGGGGCACTTTAATGCCATCCTTCTTCCATTTCATTTTCATTTGCATTTCATTCCATTGCATTTCATTTCATGTCATTTACGACATCATAAAGGAGAGCGACATCGAGTGCATACCTAAATCCTGGCTCACAGTAAACATTCAGCAATGTCTCATTCATGAATAGAAAAGAGGAATTCACTCACACTTCTCTGTGGGCTCCCCGCTACTCTGCCCAGTCTAATATTTCATTTCTCCAGGTTTCCTTTCTCGTTTTTGTAGTTGGGAGGTTGAAAAACCTGATACCTTGAGCTGTTTTGAGAGTGGGAACCAGCCCCTTCCGCTCCCGTCCTGTCCTCTGCTCAGCGTCCAATGCTTTTATGTGATTGCAGGTACTCTGTTCCCCCTGAGCACGGGAAGCGGTTGGAGCGCCTCGCCAAAGGTACTGTGTCTCCTCCACAGCGGGCTCAGACCCTCCTGTGCGCTGTGCTCATTGCTCTAATGCGTCCATTCTCTGTGGTCAGATTCTCACGTGTCCCTTCTCAGGCCTGCAGGTGGGGGGTAAGCCAGACTGCCAGGTTGGTTATCCTAATGGAGCAACTAAAAGCAGAGCCTTTCCGCACTTTGTCCTGGGAAGGGAGAGCTGGGTAGTCTGTTCTGTAGTAGACGTGTTACTAACTAAGACTGAGGATGCAGCTGCATGGAGAAAGGTCCGAAAGCGTTTCAAAGCTCTTTATCAGAAAACGGGCCGCTTGGGTCATCTCAGGTCCCCAAACAGAATCTGATTACCCACGGGTGGCCTACCCACGAGAGCCCAGAGGTTCCTTGTGGAATCTTAGAGCTGGGCTGGGGCTGAAGGATCCATAGAGATCACCTTGGTGATTTATCCCCTTATTGTCCAGGCGAGATGCACAGGGGTAGGATGCTAGGGTTACACAGTGAGTGTGGAGCACCGTTCACGTGTGCCTATTTTCAATTAAACAGGCTTTTTCCCAGGAAGTGCTCAAAGCTGTGAGGCTTTTCTCCGCCATAAGATGACCTTGATTTCCCCTTTAATGCTGAAGAAATACGGAATTCCCTTTGACAAGGTGAGCTGACTTTACATATGGAAATCCTTAGCCTCACACGGAAACCGCCCTTTCTGGTCTGTGTTTCACAGAGAGGAGCTTTATTCTCGTTCATTACCCTGTGCCAGGTGTGGGCCAAAGCTGACATATATAACAACACTTTGACATCAGGGTATTTAAGGTGGGGCTGCTATACCTTCCTGGACCAAATTTGAGTCAAATCCCCGTGAACAGAGTTCCTTTGGAAGGATGGTTATTATAGTCGTGGTGTTCTAATCTATATTAATAAAGAGCTAATATGCTAATGGTTGATCCGCCATAACGGTAACGACTAGGTCATTAGCATATTAGCTGGTGCATATTAGCTGGTGCGTTGCTCTCGATCTGCCATAACGGTAACGACTAGATCATTAGCATATTAGCTGGTGCATATTAGCTGGTGCATATTAGCTGGTGCGTTGCTCTGGAGACGGGGTGGAAGTGGGGAGGTGCCAGGAGGAGGCGGGGCCATCCCGTGCCGGGGAGGGCAGGGCTGAGAGCCCATAGCGCCCCCCCTCATCAGTCCTTTGCCACCCACCACACTGAGTGCTGTGCTGTGCGGCCCACCTGCCAGGGGAAGGAGCACAGCGCAGCAGGTGGGAGGCTTCCACACTCTCCTCTGGCGCCATGACGGGGCGGAGCCGCTGCATGAAACGGGGCGGAAGCAGGGAAGGCACCCAGAGAAGGCGGGACCAGCCTGAGGCGGCTGGAGGGACTGAGTGCCCGGCTTGAAGTGGCCAGAGAAGACCAGAGGGTTTAGGGCAGTGATGGCGAACCTATGACACATGTGTCAGAGGTGACACATGAACTCATTTTTTTGGGTGATTTTTCTTTGTTAAATGGCATTTAAATATACAAAATAAATATCAAAAATATAAGTCTTTGTTTTACTATGGTTGCAAAGATCAAAAAATTTCTATATGTGACAGGGCACCAGAGTTAAGTTAGGGTTTTTCAAAATGCTGACATGCCGAGTTCAAAAGGTTCGCCATCACTGGTTTAGGGGCTGGGCCAGGCGCGCTGGAGCTCTGCGTGGAGAGGTTCGGGTGTCAAGGCCGCGCTGGGCTCCTAGTATGATATGTTAGGGCTTTGCATTTTGTAGAAGACACAGACCCCAGTGGCTTTATGGCTTATCCTTGGTTATTCAGCTAAGTTGAGGCAGAGCTGGAGCTCAGAGGTCCAGTTCTGCAGACTCCTACAGTTGGATGCAGCTGCTTCAACTCTGCTCTTGTGCAGGTCACTCAGGAAGCTGGAGAGTTCATGATCACATTTCCTTATGGCTACCACGCCGGCTTTAACCACGGCTTCAACTGTGCGGAGTCTACCAATTTTGCTACGCGGCGGTGGATTGAGTATGGCAAACAGGCAGTGCTGGTGAGTGCTTGGCCTCTCTGTCCCCCTGTGCCTAAACATGTCTGGTTCTTGTTAGGTGCACTGGCTGCTGGTTAGAACTTCTCTTTAATCTTCTGCAATTCAGAAACCAAGTGGCTGGGAATGTGCAAAAGTGCCCAACATCTTGCATTCTTTAAAAATTTGTTCAGATTCGGGACGTATAAAGTGAGGTTTTCGTGCGTAAGTCCATTGGGCATTCAAATCACACCCACACACATTGATACTCGTGCTTTAGCCACTCGGGGATTTCTCTGTTGAGAAGTTCTGAGGGGTTTACTTTTACTTGAGGGAAGCAGAGGGCTGGACCTTTGATTGGGAGTAGACTTGCTCGTGTGGTCCTGGCCTTGGATAGATACCAACACGCAGGTGGCTGTTGACCATCTGGGGTCTGAGTGCTCAGTTTCCTATCGATCGGTTCTCACGCATCCTTGTAGTGCCTGGGTGGACTGCCCAGCGCCATAGTGCCATGCATCCTCCGCCCTTCTCCCCTGCTTCCCTCCCTGTCTGAAGCTCTGCAAGGACAATATGCCTTCAGCCTCTGAACCCAAAATGGTTTGGCTTTAAGCTGTCTTGGACCTTTGTCCACCTGAGGGGAGGAGATGGGATATGGGGGTCAGGTGGGAGCAGGTGAAGTGTGCTCACCTGTGGCTCTTCCGGTTACTGTGGCAGTGCTCCTGTAGGAAGGATATGGTGAAGATCTCCATGGACGTGTTTGTGAGGAAGTTCCAGCCAGAAAGGTACAAACTTTGGAAAGCTGGGAAGGACAGCACAGTTATCGACCATACGCTGCCCACGCCAGAAGCCGCTGAGTTTCTTAAGGAGAGTGAACTGCCTCCAAGGGCCGCGAGTGAGGAGGAGTGCCCAGAGGAGGACATGGAGGGAGTCGAGGACGGCGAGGAGGGCCACCTGAAGAGAAGGTAAGGCGGCAGCCCTCGGGGCCCAGCCGTCTGAGGGAGGCACGTGGAGGCAGCTACTGAGAGGCTGTTACTAAGTGAGGCGTTTGAACCACAGATGAGGGAGTTTCCTTCTTGGTACGGGCTCCAGAGTCCTCAGAGTGAGGGCATTTAGGCCCCCGGTGGCTGTTACCAGGAGCGATGGCATCTGGTGGTGCGCCCGTGGTCTGCTGGAGCGAGGGGCACACATGTGCCAGGGCACGCTCCCTCTGGGCCAGAAAAGTCAAAATTTCTCATCTTCATCATGAGAGCTTTTTAAAAAAAATATTTTTATTGATTTCAGGGAGGAAGGGAGAAGGAGAAAGAGAGAGAGAAACATCAATGAGAGAGCATCATTGATTGCCTGCTTCCTGCATGACCCCTATTGGGGATTGGGCCTGCCACCCGGGCATGTGCCCTGACCGGGAATCGAACCCTGACCTCCTGGTTCATAGGTCAATGCTCAACCCCTGAGCCACAACGGCCGGGCGTGAGAGCTTTTTAAAGAAGGAGAGTGTGGTGCTCGCTACGGGAAGATTAATTAGCATGTCCCCTGCACGAGGACGACATGCCAATTTGTGAAGTGGTTCATACTAAAATAAAAAGAAAGAAAGAAAAAAGCGTGTGGTAGTGGAAATGAGATTCCTGGCCTTGTCAGTGTTTGAGCCAGAGGATCTCTCTCCTAAGGCTCGTTTATCCTAGGCCACGTGGGGAAGGAAGGAGGGACTTTGATGGGCTCCTGCTTTACGCCAGGTGCTTTCGGGTACTCTGCCTGCCTTTTCTTAAGCCTCGTGGTGGGTGGTGATATCCCTGTTTTCCATTTGATGGGACGGGCTCAGGTCCCACAAATGGGGGACTGTAGGCTCTGGGCACTGGTTTTGGGGTTGTGTGTGGATGTGTTTGTGTAAGTGGGTATATACCTGGGCCCTTACACAGCTCACTCTCCTCCTTGCAGCCTCGCCAAGCACCGCATAGGGACAAAGAGGCACCGAGTTTGTCTCGAAATTCCGCAGGAGGTCAGTCAGAGCGAGCTCTTCCCCAAGGAGGAGCTGAGTTCCGGCCAGTACGACCTGACGGCGTGCCAGGCCGCGCTCGCCCCCGTGAGGCCCACCCACAGCTCTGTGCGGCAGGTCGAGGATGGTCTCCCCTTCCCAGGTCAGCTGGTTACGGTATTCTCCCCCACCCTGACTGTGTTCTGTTCTCTGTTGGGTGCCATGTTAGTGCGGGGTCACCAATGAGAAAAAGGGGAGAGATAGGCCCGAGTGTGAGGAGCACTTTGGTTGGGAACACACAGGGCAGGTGAGGAACGTAGGGAAAGCCCCCACCCCCCCTTTTGCCTGGTGAGGGGTCCAGGAGACACTGAAGGTTTTGGTGAAGTGACGATGAACCGAAGGGGACAAGATCAGTAGGAATTTTCCAGGCAGCGTTGGTGACATACAAAGGGCATCCCCGAGAGGCACAGGGGGGGCCAAGGCATGGAGCTGTGAAAGGACAGAGCTGTTTGGGGGCTGGTAGTGATTTCCTGCCATTTGAATGTGGGGGCGGAAGACAGGTGTGTTACCAGGAAATGAGCTATAGAAATAGAAGCGAGAGGATGTAGGGACTGCCTGCCATCTTAGCGTGGCTCACATGGAGGCCCGGGAGCCATTTGTGTTTCAGGGGGAGTGGTGTGGTCACAGTGTTCTAGAGCGGCAGTCGCCAACCTTTCGGACCTCATGGACCGCCAGTGGTCCGCGGACCTCCGGTTGCCCACCGCTGTTCTAGAGCAGTCCCTCGGGCGGATGGTTGTGAGGGTAGATTTGTTGGGCACGGGCTGTATCAGTGCCCAGTCAGGCCTGACAACACCTTGTCGGTACCTCTGCTGAGAGCCAAACAGCTCTATGGACTCGACCTGGGTCTGGACTGCCTTCCTTCAGGTTGTCCAGCCTGGGGTGCTAGGCCTCTCCTGTGCTCAGCCCTCATTTCCTGCCAGACTTCTGAGGACATGGCAGCTGTCACTTAATGAGCGTCTGCCATGTGTGCCAGGCTGTGCTCCATCTTACGCAGAGCCCTGGTGGTACCTTGCATTAGAGAGGATGGAACTGGAGGCCCAGAGAGGATCAGCAGCCCCTCATCACACAGGGACCCTGTGGGTGACAGCCGGGATTCAAGGCCAGGCCTCACCCTGCCCCTGTTCTTTGTGCTTTGTCACTGCTTTTCTCGAGGTTCAGACGTGCGGGAGGAAGTTGGCTCTGTCCAATGTGTATGTGTGTTTCAGATTATTCTGACTCGACTGAAGTCAAATTTGAAGAGCTTAAAAACGTCAAACTCGAAGAGGAGGAGGAGGAGGATGCGGAGGAAGAGGAGGAGGAAGCAGCTGCTGCCTTGGATCTTTCTGTGAATCCTGCCTCTATAGGGGGACGCCTTGTCTTCTCAGGTTCCAAAAAGAAATCATCTTCCAGCCTGGGCTCCAGTTCATCACAGGATTCTGTTTCTTCCGATTCAGAAACCAGTGAGCCCCTGTCCTGCCAAGGCCAAGGGCAGACGGGAGTCCTCACTGTGCACAGCTATGCCAGAGGGGACGGCAGGGTCGCTGCGGGAGAGCCGTGCACGCGGAAGAAAAGGAGCGCCAGCAGGAGTATCAGCGAGCGGGAGCTGGCGGAGGTAGGGCTGCCTGGAAGGGACCCTGTGGGTGGGGTGCAGCGGTGTCCAGGAGGCAGGAGTAACCGCAGGGTGGACCTCCAGTCTGCCGTGGTGTGGAGTAGAAAGCCAGGTGGCATTGGCTCACTTCCAGGAAGGAGTTCCTTTCTCTTATCTGTGTGACACGGCAGCCTCCGGGACAGAGGCGGATCAGTTGGGTGCATCCTCTGACCCCCGTGCCTTAGAGGCACAAGGGTTAGGGTGGCAGTGATTGCAGCCCAAATATTTGAGGGTTGGGAATGAGATGGCCTTTCTTGTTCTAAAATTCGTTTTTCCCCCTTAAAAATCGTGTCTGCCCTGTAGACGCCCATGAGAATTCTCCCTCCACTCCTTCCCCCCCACGTGATCCTTCATCTCCCAGAATTACCTTGTGGGTAGAGTATCCTTCTGGAGACGGATGAATCCCCAAAGCCATCCACGTGGACATTTGTCCAGGCTTCCTCCTGGAACACGCTTGGTGGGTCTGAGTGGGACGGAGCAGAGCTGGGCTGGATGCGGCCGGGCTCACACCTACCCAAGTGACCTGCTCTTCCTCCCCAGCCTCGTAGCTTCTGTGGGTCCAGTTGCAGCCTTGGGTGGAGGCGGGTGTGCAGAAGGTCTTCTTTATTCCCCATCCCCTTACCTTACCTTCGAGAATTTATCTTTTAAAAGTTGTGATGATGAAACATTTCTAAAGTATATTCAGCTCGAATACCATCACAAGCCCCCTATGTATATTCATTGTCCACACATTAACATTCGGCCTCTTGGCTTTATCTCTTTGGCTGAAGTACCAACAGTCCATATGAAAATCCCTCTGGTGCCCTTTTGTGGTTGGTTTGCCCCCTTGCCTTTAATATCCGTGTAATTTTCTTTCTGCTGTCTCTGAATCTCGGGGTTCAGTGTCTGTAGACTTTTTCCAGGTGCCCCCTCCCTCCTCCTCGCAGTGGGTGCAGGCTCCTGAGCCGATGCCCCTCACCTCCTCCTCCTCATGGCCTCTGATTGCTGCTCTCTGTCTCTGTACGGCAGCCCCCGCACAAGAGGGCTTCTCAGCTTAGAAGCTGGAATCCCTCACATTCCCATTGCCACATCCGCATTCTTCCTTCACAAAGCTCCGTGCCCTCTTGTTCATCCTGCTGTCACACCACAGGTCGCGCTGTTCCTCTCTCGCAGCGTCGTCTTGACTTCCTTACCTCCAGTTGGAATCACAACCACAAAAGCACTTAACAATAGCAAGGACTTAGTGTATGCGGATACTTCCTATGCATTGCTTAGGCTAGCGGTCGCTACTGCTGGTTTAAGGAAACCTTCGGCGCAGCGGTCGCCAACCGGTGGCCTGTGAGGTTCGAAAGGTTGGCGACCGCTGGCTTAGACTATGTGTTACTGCTTAATTAATCTAACCACAGGGGGGAGCCAATAAATAACACCCATCTTTTTTTAATTTTGTATTTATTGATTTTGAAAGAGAGAGAAACGTCTATTTGTTGTTTCACCCAGTCATGCATTCATTGGTTGACTTGTATGTGCCCTTGACCAGGGATCGAACCCACAACCTGGTTGTCTCGGGACAGTGCTCTAACCAACTGAGCTACCTGGCTAGGGCAACACCTATCTTTTTCCTCCCAAATTACGAACCAGTTAAGTAATGGATATAGGAGTGTGGCATTTGGAGCTCAGAGTGTCACTTTATTACCAGTTAAAATGATTGAAGAAAGTGGATTTTAACCCGTGGCCAAGTGGCCCTGCTGCTCATTTGCCCTCGGTGAGACAGATGACCTACCTCGTCATAGGCAGTCCTGGAGGACGCAGGCCCTCTCATCCTGCAGAGCGTTCCCCACTCGTCTCCCATGTGTCGTGGACGCAGACCAGGACGCACTCCTGCCAAAGGCAGGTCCCAGCTAAGTGATGCTCACTAACATCCCAGAGCTGGGAGGAGAGCCAGGGGCCTCCCTGGGGAATATGCCGGGGAAGGAGGCCACTCTCCAGCATGCCTCTCTTGTTGGATTCCTGCTCAGACACTATCGAGTGCCTTCCTGGCTCCTTTTTATTTTATTTTTTAATATATTTTTATTGCTTTCAGAGAGGAAGGGAGAGGGAGAGAGAGAGAGAAACATCAATGATGAGAGAGAATCATTGATCGGCTGCCTCCTGCATGCCCCCTACTGGGGATCAAGCCCGCAACCCGGGCATGTGCCCCTGACAGGAATCGAACTCAGGACCCTTCAGTCTGCAGGTCGACGCTCTATCCACTGACCCAAACCGGCTAGGGCTCCTTTTTATTTCTGTATCGACTTCTTAGCTGTTGTGTGATGGTGACACCCTTCACTCCACACCAACCATCTCTCCTCTGCCTCCTCTTGATGTGCTGGCATCTTTGAACTACTTCAACTTCTCTAAAAATACCTTGGCTGCCTACCTCTTCGCTTTACTCTGTCGTCGTTACGGCATGCCTGCTCTAGACTAGGACAGTGCCTTCAAGGAGCTCACAGTCTAGACGAGTGGACATATGGGAGCAAATGATTCTGATACTTAGTGATTCATGATGTGGCACAGGCAGAGGAGTTAACAGCCTGCCTGGGGTTGGGGTGAGGTGTTCAGGGACACTGCAGAGAAGGAAGCGTTCTAGGCCTGAGGCTGACAGGAGTATGCCAGGTGGGTAGAAGGAAACTGGAGGGGGAGTCTGGGAGAGGAGAGCGTCCTCTGTGGGGGTGGTAGCTCATGCCAAGGTCAGAGCACGTGGTGGGGAGGCCTAAGTGGTTCCATTTGCCTCAGGCATATGGGGCTGGAGAGGCCAGGGAGGTGTTGGTGGAGGGTGAGTCAGGACCCAGGTCAGGGAGGTTCTGCTGTGAGAAGCAGTCTGACCTCAGTTGTGGTGTGGGGAGCAGTGGGAGGTTTTCTGCCATGTGTTTTTGGAGATTGAAGATTCCCATAGTACATTTTAAAAATATATTTTTATTGATTTCAGAGAGGAAGGGAGAGAGAGAGAGAAACATCAGAGATGACAGGGAGTCATTGATAAGCTGCCTCTTGCACGCCTCCCACTGGGGATCGAGCCCACAACCCAGGCATGTGCCCTGACCGGGAATTGAACTGTGACCTCCTGGTTCATAGGTTGACACTCAGCCACCCAGCTGGGCTCCATAGTACATTTTTTAAATGCACAAAGATGTGTACAGAATAATATAGTGAACCCACAAATTCTCATCATCTAGGTCTGACAGTTCTCAATATCTTGTCACAATTGCTTCATCTATTATTTTTTTTATTTGCTGAAGTATTTTAAAGAAAATCCGAGATAACATGTCATTTCCCCCTACTTCAGTGTGTATCTCTAAAAATATGGATATTTTATTTTTATTTATTTCTTTATGTATTTATTTACTAGAGACCTGGTGCACGAAATTCGTGCTCTGGTGGGGGGTGTGTCCCTCAGCCCGGCCTGCACCCTCTCACAGTCCAGGAGCCCTTGGAGGATGTCCGATTGCCAGCTTAGGCCCGCTCCCGTCAGTTGGACATCCTTAGCACTGCCGCGGAGGTGGGAGAGGCTCCTGCCACTGCCGCTGCGCTTGCCAGCCATGAGCCTGGCTTCTGGCTGAGCGGCGCTCCCCCTGTGGGAGTGCGCTGACCACCCGGGGGCAGCTCCTGCGTTGAATGCCTGCCCCCTGGTGGTCAGTGTGTGTCATAGCGACCGGTCGTTTTGCCATTTGGTTGATTTGCATATTAGCCTTTTACTATATAGGATTTTTGTTTGTTAATCCTCACCCGAGGATATTTTTCCATTGATTTTCAGAGAAAGTAGAAGAGAGGGAGAAAGAGAGAGAAACATCAATGTGAGAGAGACACATTGATTGGTTACCTCCCGCATGCATCTCGACCGGGGCGGAGATTGAGCCTGCAACTGAGCTACGTGCCCTTGATCAGAATTGAACCCGGGACTCTTCAGTTTGAGGGCTAACACTCTATCCACTGATCTAAACCAGCTAGGGCCAAAATATGGATATTTTCTTAATCCCTATGCCATTATTACACCCAACAATATTATAAAAGTTCTTTAGCATCATCTAATACCCACTCCATAATTAAATTTTCCCAATTGTTTAAACATTTATTTTATGGTAGGTTTGTTTGAGTCAAGGTTTAATCTAGTCTTATACTTTACATTTGTTTATTATGTCTCTTAAGTCTACGTTAATCTAGCGAAGTGTTCCCCTCCCTTTTTACTACCATTGACTTACTCGAGACCATGCTAATTCTTTAAATTGTCCAGTGGAAGGGTTTTAAAGCTCTTTACTGATATTTCAGAAGTTCATTTTGGAATCAGTATAAAGGTT